TCTCGCGCGCGCCGATCAGGACGCCGGAGCAGATGATGGCTGGCCCCAGCCCCACCCCCACCATGTCTCGGAGCGGCGCCAGGACCAGCTGCTACTGCACCTGCCAGCCTCTCTTGCCCGCACTGATCGGGGCGCTGGAGCAGGCGAGGGCGGGCTCCAGTTCCACAGCCAGCATCTCGCTGCGCCTGCTCGTCTTGCACGCGCAGACCGGTGCGCCGTTGCAGACGAGGGGGGGCCCAGCTTCACTCCCAGCATCTCGCTGAGCAGAGCCAGGGCCAGCTGCCCCTTCCCTTGCCAGTCCTTCTTGCACGCGCTGATCGGGATGCTGGAGCAGATATGGCGGCCTCCAGCTTCACAGCCAGCATCTCGCTGTGCCAGGGTGCCGTTGCAGACGAGGGAGAGCTCCAGCTTCACTCCCAGCATCTCGCTGAGCAGCGCCAGGGTCAGCTGCCCCTGCCCCTGCCTGTCCTCCTCGCGCGCGCTGATCGGGGCGCTGGACCCGACGATGGCGGGCTTCAGCTCCACCCCCAAAATCTCTCGGAGCAGCGCCAAGGCCAGCTGCCACCGCCTCTGCCAGTCCACCTCGCACACGCTAATCGGAGCGCTGTAGCAGAAGATGGCGGGCCCCAGCTTCACACCCAGCGGCATTAGCAGCGGCCAGGGCGGGCCCACCGCCACCGGAGAGGAGGGCCGCGGCGGCCGCGACGCCGGCCGAGGCCCGCGGCGACGACGGCGGCGGCGGCGGGGCCAGCACCAGCAGCAGCAGCGCCCAGGCAGCAGCCGCGGCGCCCAGCCCATTGCACGCCGCCACCGTCCGCCGCCAGGCCGCAACGGCAGCGGCACCGGCCGCCGGCGCGGCAAGGCCGGCAGAGCACGCAAGAGCCGCGGCGGCTGGCCGGAGGCCGACGGCAGCCGCCGCCACGCAGGCGGCCGCGGCGCTGGCGCAGGCGGCAGCCCAGCGGCTCGGCGGCCGCAGCCGAAGCCGTCGCGTCGGCAGCGCCAGAGGTCCCCTGGCAGCCGGTGAGTTTTTGGCGCTAAGGTCTCAACGCCCACGTCGGCATGCGGCCGTCGACGGGGAAGCAGCGGCAGCACAACCCGCTCCAGAAGCCCCAGCAGCCACGAAGCCGACGGCTCTAGCGGCATCAGCGGCGGCAGCAGCATCTGCGACCAAGCGGGACACGGCGGCCAGGGCCGCCGAGAAGGCCGCGGCGGCCGCGGCATGCGGAGCGGCGCCAGGGAGGGCAGCGTCGGCAGCCGCCGAGGCGGCACGGGCGAGCGCCGAGGCCGCGGCGCCGTCGGCCGCGCCAGCAGCGCGGGCCGCGGCACCCGCGGCGGCAGTCACGGCGCCCGCAGGGCCAGCGTCACCAGGTGCGAAACTAGCCCTGGGGCCAGCAAGGGCAGCTTGGGCCGCCGCGTCCGCAACCGCGCCTCACGCGGCGGCCGCCGCGAGAAACAGCCGACGGCAGCGCTGGCGCCGGTGGAATGCCTCGGCGGCCGGCGGCGAAGCCAGGCGGCGCGGCGCCGACAGCCGCGGCGCCGGCCCCGAAAGCAGCCGCGCGCCGCTGGCGGCGGCGCAATACAGAACGGGATCCATGGGCACGGGGGCGGGGCGGAGACGGGAGGGAACTCCTTCACAGCCCCACCCCAGGAACGCCGGCGGTCGAGCGACCGCCGGCCCTGCGGCGCCAGCCGCTGCGGCCCCCCTTGAGCCACACACCGCTTGAGCCAATGGCTTGAGCCAAAGGCTTGAGCCAAAATGGATACGGACACACACACACACACACACACACACGCACACTTTTGATTCGCGGGTCGAGAGCGCACCTCTTCCGGTCGAAGCTAAGCGGGCCGCGCGAAGCTTGAATTAAACAGAGATGGGGGTGGGTCGACTCTTTCATGAACCCGGTGGCGGAGTACCGGTCGAAGCAAAATGGCGTGGTTGGTGCTGCCGTCAACGGCTGATCATTGACACCAGCCTCGAGTTGGCGGCGAGAGGCGACGCGCCTTGCAACCAAGCTGCGTCAGGGATCAGGGAGAGCGAAGAGCGACGCTGAGACGAAGTGCAGCGTTGTGCCATCGCACTGGTAGCAGGAGCGAGTGCCACAGGGCCGCGGTGGTTCATGGAGCCACAAGTCCAGGGTACAGGAGCCGCAGAGACTTGAGGCGCGGCAGTCAGGACACGCCAAGAACATGCCGCCTGTGACGACCGACAGGGCGCCGGTGCACTGGAGCAGGAGGTGGAACGGATCCGGCCCTGCAGGGGCGAGCGCTCAGGACCGGGCCGAAGCCGCGCTATACCAGGGCGCCGCCGTTGTCCGCGGAGCCCAGGGCTGGGCCGGGGCCGCGCTGCTCAAGGGGCGTGCGCCTGTGGGCGTCGGCGTTGGGCAGCGCCCAGGCAGGGCACGCGTGGCGCGCACCGGCCTGTCGTCAGGGCGGCCGTTGGTCCATTCCTTGAAGTCCACGTAGTCCGGGATGGATTGGCGGCCTTGCATGGCCTTCGTGGTCCAGCAGCAAATGCACAGCCAGGTGAGGTCCATCCCTTGGTAGTACTCCGTCTGTCTGTTGACCGCGATGACCAGGCGGGCCCGCTTGCTGACGCACGCCCCTTTGTCGTGCTTGAACGGGCCGCGGAGGCACCCCTGGCAGTAGAAGTCAGCCTTACTCTGCCCCTTCACCCACCGAGTATCGCGCTCGTCTATCCAGGGAGGCCGTAGCGTCACACCTGAGCGGGGCCCGGGTGGGGCAGGCGCGCCCAGGTGCAGGCGCGTGAAGGAGCACCCCCCCCTATCCAGACGACCTTGCCCGCCTGCCTTGCAGGGTCCGCGGTGAGGCCTATGCTGGAGCCGAGAACGTCGACGTAGAGCTCGCATACCGCGCATCCGTGGTCCGCCAGGGCCGTCAGGTCGGCGGCAGGGACGATGGCTTCGATGACGGCGAGCGCGGCCTGGAGCGGGAACTTCGCCGCCTCGAGCTCCTTCCAAGCGCGGGGGCACCCCGCCTCGACGGCGGCAGGGCGGTGGCGGGCGACCAGGACCAAGCGGGACACAGCAGAGATCAGGAGCTCCAGCGCCGAACATAGCTCCTTGAAGTGCTTGGCTCCGAGCCCGAACACCGCTCCCAGGTGGTCCCGCGCGACCCTGTCGCGCGGCCGGTATGGCTCGCACAGGCCCTGGATAGCCTCGATCACGTCGCCGATGCCCTCGGCGTCCCCGAATGGGCACAGGCAGGTACGCGGCTCGCGCTGGTCTGGCGCCCGCCCGAGCCCATGTCGCAGAAGGCCTGAAACACATCCGGTGTGGGTGGGTCCTTGTGCTGATGGCACTTGCAGGTTGCTGGCTGCCAGGATCTAGGGCGGCGCCTGCAAGTGGTTCGTGAGATGCAGGCCTCCTTGACGCACCACGCGGTGGGCATGTTCGGCCGCTCCCTTCTTGGTGGGATCAGGGCGGGGTCAACGGCCCGGGCGGTGTCCACGCTGGTGACTCCGAGCCCGATGGCCCACATGATGGTCGCAAAGACTGCCATGTAGACCAGGTTGCCGGCGACCAGGCCCACCAGCATCGAGCAGAAGAATAGGCACCTGTTCATGGTCCATCCTTTGCGGTCCTGCAAGCTGGGGACTGCAGGCTGGTCCGCCACGCCATACTGGCGCGGGCGCAGCCCGAGGCACCACAGAATGCGGGGCCCGAAGGCAGCGCAATACAGGGGTCGCACGACCGCCGCGTTGACGTCGTCTTCCAGGGCCGGCCAGCTGTGGTCCGTAGGGAGGGGCAGGTCGGCGCGGGCCGAGAAGCCTGCCTGTTGAGCTTGCCGGGCCTTTAGCACCTCCTCCCCCCTCTTCTCGCGGTCGGCGTCCGCCTGCAGCCGGGCCCTTTCCTCTGGAGTGGCGGTGTCGGGGACGTTGTCCAGGAAGACGCGCTGGCCTGCGTTGGTCTGGCTCAGCGCGCCGCCCGGGCAGCGGTGGATCTCGAAGGCGAGGCGCGCCTTCTGGGTCCAGGTGCTTAGGTGATGCAAGGCCGCGTCGGTGGCTGCGCGGAACATCCTCGCGTCCGCGGCCGCGATTAGATTGCACTGTGGGCGCGCCAGACCCACGGACCACCGACGCCCCCTCACCCTGGGCGGAGCCGACGGCGGTGACGCGCAGGGTCTCGCCCTCCAGGAGGTTCGGGAACAAGTCCATGAGCCCGTCGAAGTGCTCGTTCAGGCCGTTGGCTTGCGTGGCAGGGTTGATCCAGGTACCCCTCGCGGCAGGTCCCCCGGAAGCTGGCCCGGAACGTGAGCGCCACCGACTCTGCGAGCGATGCGAGCCGGCCACGTCACCGCCCATCTCAGGGCCGTCGGCCTGGGCCGCCCGCGAGCAGCGCCTGATGTCCTGGGGGGGGCAAGGGTTACCGGCCAGCACCGGGGCCAGCTGCAATTTGTAGGGCGACAGCACCAGGATAACTAGCGTTGCCAGTGCGTGTGGCCCAGGGCACGAAGGCCTTGACCAGGTCCACTACGGCGCGCGCTTCATGAATGTTGGCGCAGCCGTCCCGGTGTTCGGACTGAACCTCCTGTGAGGGGACGCGCGCTAGGAGGAAACGGTGCTGGTCGACCCCAGCGCTGCCATCTCCCGCGTCTGGAACGGGCGGGCACGCCGCCTTGCTCCTGAACCCGCCCGCGGTGTCAATCAGGGAGTTGGTTGGGCCGCATTCGCCCTCCTCGCTCCTCTCCGCGCCGTACTCCTCTTGGGACAGCGGCACCGCGCGCGGCCAATGGAAGCCCTCGGCGCAGGGGCGCTGCCGCATGGGGTCCGGGATGGCCGAGACCAGCCTGCCCCCGTAGAACGCAATCGAGGGCCAGGCGAGCAGGGACGGGTGGACGCGGTAGCATTCTTCCAGGGTGACGTTGCAATCGGAGATCTCCCCAAACGGCCGACACGTACTTGGCCAGGGTGGAAATGCCGAGGCCCCAGCGCAGAGCCCGCCGGGACTTGACCGTTGGGAATAGCTGCCGTTCGTCGCCGAAGAGCACGACTCTGGCCCCGCACCGGGCGGCGTGGACCAGGGCCATGATGGCCATGGGCTCGGACGTCTGACCCGCTTCGCCCAGGAGGCAGATGAGGAACTTCTTGTCCCAGTGGTCGGCCCCGGCCTGGCGCGCGGCCAGGATGAGCTTCGCCTCGGTTGCGATCTCAGTCTGGAACTTATGGAACCCGCGTGCGTGGTCCGTGGTTGTGACGTCACCTCCCGGGATGTTGTGCGCGGCGGCAAACTTTGCGACCGGGGTGATCTTCTTGGCGGCGCTGCCCCTCGCCTTGTCCTCGCGTGCGAGGCGGACGGCCAGGCGCGGGAACAGGTCGCGGCAGCTCGGCGCCAAGTTTTCCCCGATCAGCTCCGCCAGGGCGCCCATGGAGCCGCCGGTGCCGCCGAAGCACCCCACGCCCCATCCCGGGGCAAGGCACGACATGTAGGCGACCGCGATGCAGGCCGCGACCATGGTCTTGCCTGTGCCAGGCGGCCCGCGGCACAGGGTGAGGAGCGAGTTCTGGGTCGCAAGCACGCAGCGGCGCTGGCCCTCGTTGGTAACGCGCCGGGCACAGGTCCGGAGCAAAAGTTCCTCCCGCGGGGCAGGCAGCAGTCGCTGAAAGACGCAGCCGGGGCATTCGTCGGCCTGTTGGAGGGGGTAAGGGGCGGTTCGTGCGCTCGCGAGTTGGCGCCGGGCTGGTCAGGGTCGTCGACCTTGCGCTCCAGGGTGGCCGAGGCCTGCGCAAGCAGCCGATCCGCTGCCTTTCCTTGCGCGGGCACCGACAGGGCCTTAGCCTTTCTCTCGTGGTCCTCGTGCCGGAAGACGATCGCCCAGACGATGGGCGGGAGGGCGGTGCCCCACAGGGCTGCGCGTTCGCACCCAGCTGAACAGAATTTCCAGATCGCGGCATTGACCTTGTTGAATTGGGCCATCCTCGTGGTGCGGTCGACTCTGTCGCAGGGTTGGCCAGGGATCGGTTTCTTGACAGTGGCGTCACTGTCATGGACGGGCCCGTGATTCTCGGCATCGTAGTGGACCAGGGCTACGCCATACGGGCAACTGTGGTCCGTGCCCGAGACCTTGACGCCAGGGGCTGGGGGCCAGACCGGAGTCATCTCAGCCAGGAAGTCCACCGTGGGCGAGGTCTTGGAGGCCAAAAAGGAATTTGGGGCGCCGACACACACACACACACACACATTGACACATACACACAAGGCGGAAGAGAGAAAGAGAGAGCGAGAGAGAATAAGAAGAAATGACCCTGCGACATAACCAGCCCATTCTACACATGTGGCGATTAAATTAAGGACCGCGCAATGCAAGCTCCCCGGGGGGCTGCGAGGTCCCGAGGTGGTCCGCGTGCGACGTACCTCCGCTGGGCCTCCCAAGAACCCACCAAAGTGGCGACAGTTGCGCAAATCGCAAGCCCCCCAAGGGCCGGCGAGGTCCCGAGGAGGTCCGCGCATGACGCACCTCCGCTGGGCCTCCCAAGAGCCCACGAAAGCGGCGACAGTTGCGATGATCGCAAGCCCCCAAGTCGGCGGCGAGGTCCCGAGGTGATCTGCGTATGACGCACCTCCGCTGAGCCTCCCAAGAGACCACGAAAGTGGCGAAAGTTGCGCAGATCGCAAGCCCCCCAAGGGGCGGCGAGGTCTCGAGGTGGTCCGCGCATGACGCACCTCCGCTGGGCCTCCCAGGAGCCCACGAAAGTGCTGACGGTTTCGCAGATCGCAAGCCCCCCAGGGGGCGGCGAGGTCTCGAGGCGGCCCACGTATGACGCCCCTCCACTGGGCCTCCCAGGAGCCCAAGAAAGTGCCGACAGCTGCGCAGATCGCAAGCCTCCCCAGGGGCGGCGAGGTCTCGAGGTGGTCCGCTTATGACGCACCTCCGCTGGGCCTCCCAGGAGCCCACGAAAGTAGCGACATTCCCAGGGGGCGGCGAGGTCTCGAGGTGGTCCGCGCATGACGCACCTCCACTAGGCCTCCCAAGAGCCCGCGAACGTGGCGACAGCTGCGCTGATCGCAAGCCCCCCAGGGGGCGGCGAGGTCTCGAGGTGGCCCGCGCATGACGCACCTCCGCTGGGCCTCCCAAGAGCCCACGAAAGTGCCGACAGTTTCTTAAAGAGAGAATGAGGGGGTCTGCAACAGGGGGTCTTCAATGGGGGCTGAATGGCCCATGTACGCTCAATGTATCGCTCATGTATGTGATCAAGAACGATTGGCATCCAATGTTGGCGGTCATGGAGGGCCAGTCGTTCGTGCCCGCGGGTTGCCCGCGTGGGCACACGCGCCGTCCATCCATTATCGTTCATGCGTGCGGGCGTTCTTGCATTCTGCGCGTGGGTTTGCGAAGTGGAGTGCAAGTGCGTCTTGACTGTACGATTGATGATCGCGTACGTTCCCAAACGATGTATTATCGACCCCCAAGACAGATTTGGAATGGGCCCCGCGACTCTCCCAAAATGTGATTTCACATTGTCCTTCATTCCCAAAATGTGAATTCACATGTTCCTTTGTTTCAGAAATGTGAATTCACATTCTGGCCCCTTCATGAAGATTCCTACACAAAAACCCCCCAAACAAAAATTACTCAATGCGTGGAGCTCCCCATATGTGCATATCATGTTTTATGTCATGCCGTGGTGAGCGTCTGTTCATGAGCGGTCGACTACAATAGCGCACGCGAACGAGCCCGTGCAACCACCCCTGGCGGCTCCCCTTAGGGGTGCTGAAACCAGCGCCCCGCCTGAGACATCCTCACAATCTGCTCTCCAAGCGAAGGATGTTGAGCCCAGAAACAAGCAAACCGCCTGAGACATCCCCACAAAATGGCCGCGAACGAGCCCGTGCAACCACCCCTGGCGGCTCCCCTTAGGGGTGCTGAAACCAGCGCCCCGCCTGAGACATCCTCACAATCTGCTCTCCAAGCGAAGGATGTTGAGCCCAGAAACAAGCAAACCGCCTGAGACATCCCCACAAAATGGCCGCGAACGAGCCCGTGCAAACACCCCTGGCGGCTCCCCTTAGGGGTGCTGAAACCAGCGCCCCGCCTGAGACATCCTCACAATCTGCTCTCCAAGCGAAGGATGTTGGGCCCAGAAACAAGCAAACCGCCTGAGACATCCCCACAAAATGGCCGCGAACGAGCCCGTGCAAACACCCCTGGCGGCTCCCCTTAGGGGTGCTGAAACCAGCGCCCCGCCTGAGACATCCTCACAATCTGCTCTCCAAGCGAAGGATGTTGAGCCCAGAAACAAGCAAACCGCCTGAGACATCCCCACAAAATGGCCGCGAACGAGCCCGTGCAAACACCCCTGGCGGCTCCCCTTAGGGGTGCTGAAACCAGCGCCCCGCCTGAGACATCCTCACAATCTGCTCTCCAAGCGAAGGATGTTGGCCCAGAAACAAGCAAACCGCCTGAGACATCCCCACAAAATGGCCGCGAACGAGCCCGTGCAAACACCCCTGGCGGCTCCCCTTAGGGGTGCTGAAACCAGCGCCCCGCCTGAGACATCCTCACAATCTGCTCTCCAAGCGAAGGATGTTGAGCCCAGAAACAAGCAAACCGCCTGAGACATCCCCACAAAATGGCCGCGAACGAGCCCGTGCAAACACCCCTGGCGGCTCCCCTTAGGGGTGCTGAAACCAGCGCCCCGCTTGAGACATCCTCCAAATCTGATGCGTGTTGAATAAGTCTGAGTATGAGTAGGTCTGAGTATGAGTACGCCTGAGTATGAGGAAGTCTGTGTATGAGTAAGTCTGTGTATGAGTAAGTCTGGGTATGAGTATGTCTGTGTATGAGAAAGTCTGTGTATGTGTACGTCTGGGTATGAGTAAGTCTGAGTATGAGTAATGCTGTGTATGAGTAAGTCTGGGTATGAGTAAGTCTGTGTATGAGTACGTCTGGGTGTGAGTAAGTATGTGTATGAGTAAGTCTGTGTATGAGTATGTCTGAGTGTGAGTAAGTCTGAGTATGAGTAGGTCTGAGTATGAGTAAGTCTGAGTATGAGTAAGTCTGAGTATGAGTAGGTCTGAGTATGAGGAAAGAGGAGGAGGGGAGGAGGAAAGAGGAGGAGGGAGAGGGAGTAGGAGGCGTCCAAGTAATAACAAGAACCCCATCTTAGGATATGGGGAATTATAGCCGGAGTGCAGTATCCCCAAACAGGGTTTTTAGACCCACTGCGGTTTCCAAGGTCGATTGCGTGCCCGTCCAGTGCGGGCTGGCATGGCATGTTAAAACATGCCTCCTCCTCCTCCTCCTCCTCCTCCTCCTCCTCCTCCTCCTCCTCCTCCTCCTCCTCGTCCACCTCCTATTCATCCCGAAAGGCATCTCGGAGCCCAGAATTGCGAGGATGTCTCCATCGTAACGGGCTGGACCACCTCGCGCGCGGCATCTCGAACCCCAGAGTTGCGACGACGTCTCGGGCGAAACGTGGTGCGAGGAAGTCTCAGGCGAAACGGGCCGGACCACCTCGAGCGCGGCGTCTCAGAGCTCCGAGTTGCGGGGGCCTCCTGGTGCCTCCTGGGGCCTCCTGGGGACCTCCTCGGGCTTCCTCCTGGGCCTCCTGTGGCCTCCTGAACTCCACCTGTGGTTTCCTGAAGCGTCTTGGGGCTCCCAGGGGGGATATCTAACCTGTGGCCGCTTGGGCCCCTCAAAATACAGGGGGGGCCACAAGAGCAGGAAAAATCAACGAATCGACACCGGATGTGAATTAACTTGACACGTTCTGATAGGGGGCCTCCTGGGGCCTCCTGGGAGCCTCCTGGGAATCTCCTGCGGACCCCTGGGGCCTGTCCTGGGCGTCCTGCGGCCTCCTGAGCTCTCTGGGGCCTCCCCCTCCTCCTGCCTGCTCCCTCATGCACATCATCCGCCTCCTCCTTCTCCCTTCCATCTCCTCCTCCTCCTCCTCCTCCTCCTCCTCCTCCTCCTCCTCCTCCTCGTCCACCTCCTCTTCATCCCGAACGGCATCTCGGAGCCTAGAGTTGCGAGGATGTCTCCAGCGTAACGGGCTGGACCACCTCGCGCGCGGCATCTCGGACCCCAGAGTTGCGACGATGTCTCGGGCGAAACGTGCTGCGAGGAAGTCTCAGGCGAAACGGGCTGGACCACCTCGAGCGCGGCGTCTCAGAGCTCCGAGTTGCGGGGGCCTCCTGGTGCCTCCTGGGGCCTCCTGGGGACCTCCTGGAGCTTCCTCCTGGGCCTCCTGTGGCCTCCTGAACTCCACCTGGGGTTTCCTGAAGCCTCTTGGGGCTCCCAGGGGGATATCTAACCTGTGGCCGTTGGGCCCCTCCAAAATGGGGGGGGGGGGCACAAGAGCAGGAAGAATCAACGAATCGACACCGGATGTGTATTAACTTGACACGTTCTGATAGGGGCCTCCTGGGGCCTCCTGGGAGCCTCCTGGGAATCTCCTGGGGGCCCCTGGGGCCTGTCCTGGGCGTCCTGCGGCCTCCTGGACCTCTCTGGGGCCTCCTGAGGCTCGCAGGGTCCCATGGAGGATATGTAACATGTGGTCTTCTGGGCGCCCAGGCTGGACCACCTCTCGCGCAGCATCTGAGAGCTCAGAGTTGCGAGAACGTCTTGTGCGAAACAGGCCGGACCACCTTGCGCACGGCATCTCAGAGCTCAGAGTTGCAAGGATGTCTCAGGCGAGACGGGCCGGACCACCTCGCGCAGGGCATCTCAGAGCTCAGAAATTCGAAGATGTCTCAGGCGAAACGGGCCGGACCACCTCTCGCGCGGCATCTCCGAAGTCAGAGTTTCGAGGATGTCTTGGGCGAAACGGGCCGGACCACCTCGCGCAAGGCATCGCAGAGCTCAGAGTTTCGAGGATGTCTCAGGCGAAACGGCCCGGACCACCTCTCGCACGGCACCTCGGGGCTCAGAGTTTCGAGGATGTCTCAAGCGAAACGGCCCGGACCACCTCTCGCGC